GGGGGGCAGCAGAGGGTTGTGGCAGGGAGGGGTATCTTAGCACACTGCAACTTAGATGTGCCCACTGAGGGGAACTGAGAGATTCTGTTACCACTTTTGAAGTAAATTAACTCTCACGAAAAGGCCAAGTGGCTTTACAACATTGTGGAAAGGAACCTTGGACTGAAGAGAACACTGGCATGGAAACCATGGGGAGCAGCCCCACGTGGCAGAGCCGACCCCTCCCCGAGCCCTGGTGCGAGCTCGCTGTCAGCCACGTGCTTTCAGCAGATCTGACAAAGAGCTGGACCAAACTGAAATTACCTGGAAGACGAAACGACTTATATCCATAAGCATGCCCGCTGATGTTGCTGGAAGTGTGTGTTGAACGACGAGAGAAAAACAAGACATTGCAATATGTTGTTAACTTCATCTTTTGCTCAGCCTTCAAAGTCTTTGTTGTAAGATTTCTTTTTTGATTTTACACATAATATAATAATGGTATCTAGATACGTTTATAAAATAAGATCATCAGAATTTGTGTGGATGCCTGAACAGCTTTCCGGCTCCCGCGGGAAGAGAGGACACAGAAGCTTGAGGACAGCTAATCTCAAATTTCAGAAGCCTCAGAATCACCTAGAGGCTTGTGGAGACACCGGGTGCTGGCTCCACCCCGGAGTGTCTGGTTCAGGAGGTCTGGGATGGGATGTGAGAATTTGCAGGTTCCCAGGTGATGCTGTTGGTCTAGGGCCCTCTGGTCAGTAGAAATGACCACAGCCTGAGGGGACACACTCTGAAGGTGAGTGAGGCCCACTTCTGCCACATCACCTTCCTCTCAGTGAAGGCAAGTGTGTCCCTGAAGACCAGGGACACCCCTACCCTGCCAGGTTGCCTGCACATTGTCTTTAGAGCTGGATTTCTTCACCTGAGTCTTGGCAATCACCTCTAGAAAGAGCATCAGGACTGCCTGGCTACCTGGGGCAGGGAGGGGAGGAGCAGGGGCTTGCAGCTTGTCTCCTGGCCTCACCCGGAGGACATGGGGCTGGGAACACGCAGGCTCTGATGGCAGGGAGGTCTGATGGGGTCCCTGCATGGCCACACACTAGCTTTTGACCTCAAATCGTCAATAAGATAACCTGTGTGCAACAGGACAAAAATATCTTGGTCTTCTTCTCTTCTGCCTACTAAGAAAAGTGGATCTTGTTGGCTGAAGGCTCTAGTCACCGGGTCAGCCGCGTGGTGGGTCTGTGAGCCTGGAGGGGCTGACCTGCCCTAAGAGGGAGGTTGGGGAGGGGGCTGGAGCCAAGCAGGTCAGAGGCTGCTGGGAGAGAGGAGGAGGATGAAGCCTTGGCCAGCACAGGGGAGACCCAGAAGGGAGCTATGAGCCCTGGGGCACACCCCATGTCTACCACATCAAAGCCTCAGCCTACAGCGGCAATCTTCTCCTCCGTTGGACTTTAATGTTTTAAAAACAACAAAGCAATAATAAAAGCCCTCAAACGTAACTGCAACGTGGAACAATCTGACCTCTCAGCCTCCTTATGGTGGGCACAGAGCCTCGCAGGTAGACGTGGGGAGAGGAAAAAGCTAATATTGGGGTGACTCGCCAGCTCACCCTCATCTGGCTTTTAAGAGCGTTAAAGCCACAGCTCTTGTGAGGTCCAAACGGCTGCAGTGGGTGCTCCCGATGCAGGCGCTGCAGACAGCCCAGTGGGGAGCTGCCCCCTTCTACACGGGCCCAGCGGACTGCAAGGGACAGACTGCAGGCAGCAGTGACCTGTCTGTATTCCCCACTTCCCTGCCTGGGACAGTCACTGTTGCCCCACACAGTCCTTTTAGCAGAACCTTTACCCACAAGGCACAGCCACTGGCCTGGGACACCTTTGAGCAAAGGTCTGGTTCTATTTTTGTATGCTTATGAGCTAAGAATGGTTTTCACACTTTTAAATGGTGTGCTATTCTTCTCAAAAGAAGAATAATATTCTGTGACATGTGATAATCATATTGAAATTTAAAAGTCGATGTCCATGAATAGTAATTTGTTCATTTGTTATGGGGTCTATGGCTACTTCCCATGCTACAAAGGCAGAGTTGACTAGTTGTGACTGAGTCTGTTTGGCCTGCAAAACCTGAAATATTTATTATCTGGACCCTTTGCAGAAAGAGTTTGCTGATCCCTAACTTAGAGAAACCTTCCTTCCAGGAGCATTTGCACTTGAATTCACAATCATATCTTCAGCAAAAGAGATGAAACTCTAATGGTAGAATTTAGGCATCTATCTATGACAGGTGGCTTCTTCTGGATCAACTATCCAGGGGAGGGTGTGGGGAAAGTGAGAGCCAGGTAACAAACAGGCAGAGGCAGCAGGATGTCAAATAGAAGACTGGGGTTTCACATTCCAGCTTCAACTAATAATTATGTGATTTTGAGCAAAAAGGCTTTTCATGTCCTGGTGTTTTTCTTATCCATCCAAGATCTGTCCTCTTGACCTCAAACAGGAAGGTAATAATAGCTGTGAACTGTTTTGAGACCTAAAGCATCATTCAAATACAAAGATCAGCCAGTCCTGACAAGGAACATCTCTTCCTTCCAAGCAAGGGAAATGGTGGTGTTGGAGGTATAGGCAACCTGTTCTCATCCCACATGGAGACCCTTGGTTTGACAACAAGACTATTTAGACCCTTGGCATTTGTACAACCGGCATTTTAGCCATTCCCAAAAGGTCCCTGAATGGTGTATTTGCCATTTGCTGAGGCACAGATCTGAGTTTCTCACTTTCTACTTAGTGAATCTAGTGGTTGGTCCAGGACAGCTCACTGCTCTCTTGTTATAACAGATACAGTAACTCAGAAAGTGATTAAAAATGTTCTTTATAAATAAATGCTCTGTATTCATGATGTTGGCCACCTCAAAAGTCTCAGGAGAGCCTATTCATGAAGGATGTGGGTCTCCAGTAAAGTGTTTATATGCAGTCGGGAGACTGGCCTGTGACAGACGTTTCTAGAAGCTATCCAACATGCCTTTAAGAACAACTTGAGGAAGTGACTAAGACTTTTATGGCAGTCTTAGTTTCCGGCTCCTAGAAATAGCGATTCCAACAGCCTTTGATGACAAGTCACTTGAGAGAGCTTGAGGCCAGCAATGGATGACAACCATATTTGACCTGGATCACCAAAGTGTGATGCAGTCTGAAATGCAACCACACCCTGCAATGGTCCCAGAGCTTGCAGCAGAATTTGCACCTGGCTTATTTCCGTTCCACCGATGGATCTTGTGTGTTCTTAAAAATGCACGCCACTGCAACACCGGAGTCCACGCCAAAGACAGCTGCAACAAATTGTATCACCTGGACTTTTTGTTTGGAACAGCTAGCCCGCGATGGCAGTGCAGATTGACCAGTTGTGTGCTATTTAAAACCCTTCCTACTCCTTTTCTCACTTGTGCCAAGGGCACACAAAGCTGCCCAGAAGGAAGGAATTCAATCAGCATTAGAAGAATACACTGAAGTCCTGTTTCCTAAACTTGAGGGGACATCTGAGTGGGAGGGGAGACCCAGCTAGCAGGGCAGAGTCCACTTTACGTGTCTTAACCCAGGCAGAAAGCAGGGCCCGGCTGACTGACGTTAGTGGGAGGGAACAAAGGAGGCTATCTGGGTAGCAAGGAGAGTCCCGGGAGGGGCATGGGCACAAGGAGGTGGCGGAAACACTTCCTAAGGGTTTATCCTCGCCCGGACTTTTTAGCTGATGCCCACAGCTCACCCCTTAGCCTGGCCCGTTGGGGACCCTGGCATAATGGGCTGCAGGTGGGACCAGTCATCACCCTGTCCTTACCAGAGTCTCCATCCCTGGCCAGAAGCCTTATCTTGCCAAGCTACTCTTTTTATTGGAACCTCCCGTCAAGTATCTGGACCACGGGGCTGAAAGTCACCTCTAATGTCTCTCACTGGTTAGTCTCAGAATGAATCCATTTTCCCCTCTCCTTGTCGCCTCTCCCTTTTGGAAAACGGCACGTGGATCCTATTCTGAACTCAACGCGGGGTTTGGGCTGGCTGGGCAGGATGCCTTGTGTACTGACACCTCCATGTGGCCAGCGCCCTGCCTGGCTTCATTTTGGGGGCTGACGACTGCACCCCCAGCCTGCCTCCCAACTCGGAACAGCGCCGTTGCTCAGGTCAACCCTGAAGCATCTAGTCAGGATAAGGTCCTCTGCGGGCTCCTGGCCCTCATAAAGCCTCCACGATGTCAAAACTCGTGGGGATGGTGGGAGGGGAGGCAGTGGTGTGGGATCGAGTCCGCCCTAAGAGGGGCCCCACGCTTCTCGTGGCTAAGGGGGCGGGGCCGACCTCGCAGGTGATAGGACGCACTGCAGCCCCGCCCCCTCGCTGCAGCCCCGCCCCTCGCTGCAGCCCCGCCCCCTCGCTACAGCGCCTGCGCGGCAGGTGCTCAGTACCGCCGGGTAACGCGCGCGGAGGTGCAGGAGCCTGGTGATTGCACACCGCGGCATAGGCAGGTATTTTTTATGAATAAAATATTTCTCCCCTGGGGACTGTGTTTTATCATAGTCAATATAATCTGTGAATCCAGAGAGCCTTAAACGCTGCAAACGTCCTAAGGAAAGGCAGGCTCCGGGTGGGCACTGTGAGGGGCTGTTCCAGCCAAATGGGCAGCAGGGGCTCATCTCCCCCAAACCTTGCTCTGGCGTCAGAGCCTCATTTCCAGTCCTGGCAGCCTCGCTGACTCTCACTTCCCCTCCTCTGCAAAACGGGGTAACCGCCCTGCTTCTAGAACTAACTGGCGGAAGGATCAAACATAAGGGACTCCTAAAGGGACTCCTACAATGAATAAAATGGAAGTGAGGCCAAGTGAGCGCGTCAGAAGCTCCCAGGTGTGAGGACTCTAGAGCAGAAAGCCTCTCCCTGGCTGGACTGTCAGGATTTCTCCCCTATTTGTGTCATCTTTCCTGGTCAAAATACGCTGTTACTCATGCAGAACTTTTTGCTCCTCTTTTACCTGCGCTTTAGAAGCAGCTGCAACCACGCAGCCTAGGAAGCCCTCAAGAACCTGGCGGTGGGAAAGTCTAGGCGCTCGCTCAAACGGGAAGGGGTCTGCAGGAGCCCGAGGAGAACGGCCAACTGGTGGGAAGCTGGAAGATTTTTTACATGACGCAGGCTTCGCGGACTGTGAGAGTGTGACGGATTCTTAAAGACCTGGATCCCACCTGCCTCAAATGAAAGCAGTTTAACGCCAGAGGTATGGGATATGTGATAAGTATCTTCCAGGCTCACCGGTTTTACTCTTGGAAGTTGTATGTGGGAAGTTTAGTAATTTAAGGTATTTTGATACCAAATATGGATGTTTGGGAAATGCAAATTGTTCATTGATCAAGATTAAACACAAGGCTTCTAGAAATTTCGGGCTTACAGCTTAACAAGGCTGGCTTTGGAGAGTGTGATGTCGCCACCCCCATCTCCTCCACACCGCCCCGCCCGGCCCACCCGGCACTGACTGCATCAGGACCTCAAGTTGGAGGTCCAACGTCAGCGCGTCTAGAAAGGCTCCCAGGTGACTCTCATGTTCAGGTAGAATTAGCAGCGACAGCTCAAGGGTGTTTGCTCTTGAAACTTAGAGCAAGAGGTAGAAAAGTCTGGAACGCACTCCCTCAGCGCTGGTTTCTGGTCTCTTTGTAGATGAACTAGTGATTCTAAGTGATCTCGTGATAAATCTATTGGGGAGCTTTGCTGGATCAAACCAGTGTTAACATCATGCCCTGGAGGATGAGGAAGTCCACGAGCTTGGTTCTAGGGGGCCTGGGCGGTGCGCAGCGTGCTAGAGATGCTGGATACAGATGTGTCAGAGAGCACCAGGGTCTCACACTTAGGTGTTTTTCACGGCTTTTGATAATGGGGAGTAAATGCTCTAAGGATGCCTCTCAAAGCTCTGTAACTGTAAGGCAGCATCCTCCAGCCTCTCCTGAGGCCTGGAGGTGATGCTTCCTTCACGGAGCCAGGGTCAGGTGGGAAAACCACAGAAAAATAAGACTTTCTAGAGAGGTGCAATTAGCCTAGATTTTCAGATAAAATATTGGCACTCAGAACATGGATTCCTAGGCATTGTAGTTCTTGTTTGTTCCATGAACACCTGTCATTTACCAAATAGATTCTGAGGCAACTTGGTGGAGCTGCCGGGCTTATGAACAGTGTGTCCTAGCTGGGAAGTACAGCTGAGGGAGGGCCCGTTAGCTATAAAGCCAGCCCTTGGGGAACAGTGGTCTGGGGCCTGGGAGTGGAAAGATCTCTGGAGGCCCTGGAAAGTGCGAGAGACAGCTTTTTAAGAAGGGGCCTGAGGTTCGGGGATACAGACTGTGGCATCTCAATCAAAATGGAAACTGTACAGAGCAGGGGTGAACACGGGCGTCATATTCACAGGCTGAATGCCAGTTCTGCCCCTCCCTGTGTGACCGTGGCATGTTCATTCATCCGAGGTGGTCTTCTTATCTGTGGGGGGTGGGGTGCTACTTCCCTCACAGAGTTTAAGGATTAAATGCGATTGTATATGAAACATCTAGTAGTATGCTTAACACAGGTGCTTATAAATGGTGGTTATTTTAGCCATTTAAGAACATTTTTCTGTCCCTTGCTCATACAGTGGCTAATATGTCAAACTTGCTCAAGTTGATTGGCTAAACGAGGGCTTGGTCAAAGGTTTATCTAAGTAAAAGCAGATGTGTTTCTTACAGCAGTGGTTCTCATTAGGGGGCAGTTTTGCCCCCCGGGGTACAGGTGGCAGTGTGTGAATTCATTTTGGATGGTCACAACTCTGTGTGTGTGTGTACAGCTGACGTCGGGCAGGGGGAGGACAGGGATGCTACTAGACGACACACGCAGCCCCTCTCAGTTACCCAGCCCCCCATGTCAGCAGTGCTGAGGTTGAAAGCCCCTGGTGTAAAGGCAGAAGCTGAGGTGAGCCCACTTAGACCAGGGGATGGAGGGAAGCGAATAGGCTTACCAGTCTGGGATCTGGCAGCAAATGAAATTTCTTCCACATCCCTCTTCTCAGAACACCTTTAGTGGTTACCACTCACAGGGTTAAGTTAGAGAAACCAGATTCAGAATTAAGACTCATCAGAGATCAGTGGAGTGATTTAAATAGCTTTTTGGTAAGATGCAAAAAAGCAGTAGAAATTAGAGGGTCAGAAAAGGAAAGCAGGGGGAGGTTGAAATGTGGTCCAGGGAAGAACGAGAAGGGTAAGTCATAGAAGTAAAATAGAGGAGGCACATCCCCCATCTTTTATTTTCTTTCTAGAGTAAATCAAACTGCACACCAACAGACTAAGCAAAGGAAAAGTTTCCATGATTCTGGAGAGGCTAATTCCTCAAAAAGTCAACAGTTCTCTGATTGGGCCAATATCTGCTCATGCTATGGCCTCAAAGATGAAATTAAAAACCTATGTAAAAATCCCGATTCGACCACAGTTTCAGACAATTTTGACATTTCATTTGCTTGTCAGAGCGCTTCAGTGCCCAGTTTGGGTCCACAGATCACTTTTGAAACCAGAATTGGCGCCTTAATCTAGCCCAAGTCCTCCACGCTCACGACAGTCTGAGAATACAAATGAACCCTGCTATATTAAGAAGTGCTGCTGAAATGTTTTGATTGACATGCCCAGGAATGAGAAGACGGCTGCAGTAAATGAAAGATGCTCACACCTCAGTTGTAAGCAACTTGAGACATTTTCTGTGAAATCTTTCTGAAAATGCGTTTAGATTTGAGGATTTTTATCTTTACCTTAAGCCAGTTACTTAAACTCTTAAGCCTCGGCTCTTTTTCTCTGCAAAATGGAGATAATAGTCCCTGCACCCCTAGGGCTGTGGTAAAGATTAAATAAGATTGTGAACCTGCGTTCACTTTGTACTAACTGGGTCACCCAACTAAAGGTCGTGCTCTAAAACCCAAAGGCTTTGTACTTTGACTTTACGTTGCTCTCAGCAGCACCTCCACAATAGTTTTTTTTCAGGGTCATGCTGGGTTTTACAAAGAACCAGAACAAGAGGGAGGCTACTGAAGAAGGCAAATTATTTCGCAGTATCTCTAGGTCTTAGTTTCTTACTTGAATTTCATGTAGGTAATCATTTCCATTTTACAGATAAAATGAGATTCAAAGTACATAAACTGCAAAGTATGGCATTAGATGCCCTTTACTGAAGCCAGAAAAATAAGGGAATTTGAATTGAAATAGAGTTCAAAGCTGGAAGTAAGCTTTCCAAGACTAAATGACCAGGAAAGCATGGGAAATGACTGCAAATCAGATGAATTCTAAAAGGTAGCATCCCCAATTCCCTTCAGTGCTTTACTTGGATTTAAAGACCTTGGAGACACAGACTTAGAGCTGAGATGATTTTTACCTGGAAGGGTTTAACCTAAGGGTGACAAAATGGTGGTGCTGATGGACGGGATCACAGAAGGATGCTGCTGTTCCTGGGGAAAGTTAAAAAAGAGGGGCAAGAGCTGAAGGGAGGCCACTGAAAAGGTTGAGGAAATGGAGTCAAACATTAAGAAAGACATGTCTGCTAAATAAAGTAAAGTAAAAGGACCTTTTCTGCAATCCTTGACCACAAATGGTCTTTGACATGAGGGTATATTTACCCAAAAGTACTAGGCATCATTTGCTTTGGAAGAGAAATAAAATATGATGCTGACTCAAGAGTCTTCACCACAAGCTTCTAGGCATGAGAATAAGGTCCCATTGGTTTTCATGTGGGTCCAGAAGAGCCACTGGGAACAGGCCAGGAGAATTAGACACGGCTGGAGTTTGCTCTTTCAGCTGCCAATGAGATGGCGGCTCTCAGAATATGAATTCTGAGAACCTTCTGTGCACTGAAAGGACAAAGCTAGGAAGATGTGTCCAGCCTTGAGACTGTGGAACTTCCAGAATTTAAAAAAAATATCCTAAAGTATAGCATTTGGTGGCTTAAGTGTGCAATTTCCAAGAAGTTCAGATTCAGCAATGTACAGAAAAACAAAGGAAAGTTCCTGCTTCATCCAGATACAACTGAGAGGCCATTCATAGTCCATTCTTGGTTCACCATATCAGTAGCCAGATACAGTAAAGAAATAAATAAATAAATAAAAGTAAAATAAAATCCTTAACTGAGATAGTGTAGACCATTTTAAGAAAGTAGCTTAGGAGCTACTTTAAGAGAAAACCACACAATTACTTTCCCACATATGCAATTCTTAAAATTTCCAGCAAATTCTCGTATATTCCACCAATGTGGAAGGAATGAACTAGCCCATGTCTTGATTTTCTCTGTGGTTTTAAATAGGCTTGCTTTCAGAAAATTTTACTTCACAATTTCAACAATTCCTTAATAATAGTAGTCTTGGCTGTTTCTTACTAACTCTATTATCATTCTTTTAATTGTTACCTAATAGTAAACCTCAGACATTTTAAATCTAGGTAATTTACAAATATTTAGCATTGGCAAAATCCACAAGCAATGAAGTATTCCCTAAATTTTTGTGGAAATCTTAGCTCTCTAGTTTCAGATTTATCTTTAAGTACGAAGCCTAGTTTCCATACTTCAGCATTTTACATCTATGACTCAAGCAGACATGAAACCACTACCCCGTTCAGGTCTCTTGTAATAATGCCTTGGTAATTCCCTTGAAATTGCAGCAGCAGATCTCGTAAAAAATTCCACTGTAATGTCATGGAACAGATGTGAACCTCGGTGCTTTAAAATAGAGAAATACTTATAATTTACTTTCATTTTAAATAATCATAACATTCTTATAGTTCCAGGATCACATTTGAGAAAACCCTCAATTTTTCATTTTGAATAGAGGCTATTGTTGACTTATCCAAGAACATTCCAATTTAATAGAACCTCCAATTTGTCTCTGGCATAAGTCATCTCTGTATTTTGAGGTTTTTTTACAGCCTTTAAGATGGTGAGACTGACTCTCCCCATCTTGGTGTTCAAAATTAATATATGCAGTAAATTTTGCATGACACTGCTAGAGGCTTTAGGTAAACATTGAAATGTTGCTGGTAGGCATTGAACAAAGATTTATGTAATCTCGGCCTTCCCTTACTTCTTATTACTAAGCCAGTTCTTTTAGGTTTGTTATTGTTGTGTAATCAGCTGAATATTGTAGCTCCTTCTTCTTAAGGCTTTCCTATTTTAAAAAGGTAGTTATCCACACGCTCTTACAAAGATTGTAGATTTATAATTTTAAACACAAAAACAGCAGGAACTCATTTAGGCAGCAGGTCACAAACATCTCCGTTTCCCGTGAGCCCATTAAAAAAACACCCCGAGGGCCTAGCAATGTGGGTTTCTCTTCATCTATTTTCCTCTTTTGTCTTCCAATCCCCGTTTCTGATCAATGAACTCTATTTACTGTTTAAAGTATCTGACCACTAGTCCTCCTTACGGAGGCTCTCTTGCACTGGTGTACAAATGTTATTTGAAAAATATAAATTAACGAGATAAACATTATGGAAGCAGCATACAAAATCCCCAAATGGTAAGAAAATTTAACATTCTTTCAATTCTTTCACCTGGTCAGCTGAAGGCACTTAATGGGAATAATCAGTCTGAGGTAGTCAAGAAGGAAGGTATGGCAGTTGAAAGAGAACAGCTATTCTTAATCTTTATTAAATGGAATCTCCTTATTAGGTTTCTCGGGGTCCTTCCCTGACTCATCAATGCTCCGCTGCCTACAATGACTTAATCACTAATAGAAGATGGTTAAGGTGTGGAATAGCCAAAAAGCAGAATATTATTGCAACCACTGAATTACGTTGTGGAAGTCTACAGACATGGAAAAGATGCTCACAGTGTGCAGGCACACCTTGTGCTATTGCGTTTAGCTTTATTGCACTTTTTACAAATTGAAGGTTTGTGGCAACCTGGCCTTGAGCAAGTCTGTCGGCACCATTTTTCCAACAGCACTTGCTCACTTTGTGTCTGTCACATTTTGGCAATTCAGTATTTCAGATTTTTTCATTATTATATTTGTTATGGTCTTCTGTGATCTCTGATGCTACTATTGTCGTTGTTCTGGGGCACTATGAACCGTGCCCATATGAGGTGGCAAACAACTGAGAAGTTTGTGTGTTCTGACTGTTCCACCAACATGCCATTCCCCGTCTCTCTGCCTTTCCTCAGGCCTCCCTATTCCCTGAGATACAACGGTATTGATATAAGGCAATTAATAACCCTACAGTGGGCTCTAAGTGTTTAAGTGAAAGGAAGTCACATGTCTCTCACTTTAAATCAAAGGCTAGAAATGACAAAGCTTAGGTTAGAAGGCATGTCCAAAGCAGAGACTGGCCAAAAGTGAGGACTCTAGGGCCAGTTAGCCACATTGTGAGTTTGAAGGAAAAGTTCTTGAAGGAAATCCAATCAGTCACAACATTCCCTTCAGCCAAAACCTAATCCAGAGTGAGGCCCTAACTCTTTAATTCTATGAAGGCTGAGATGGGAGGAAGCTGCAGAAGAAAAGTTTGAAGCCAGCAAAGGTTGGATCATGAGATGTAAGGAAGGAGGCTGTCTCCATAACATCAAAGTGCGAGGTGAAGCAGCAGTGCTGAGGTAGAAGCTGCAGCAAATTATCCAGAAAAATCTAGCTAACTAATGTGGGGGGCTGTACTGAACAACAGATTTTCACTGTAGGTAGAACAGCCTTGTATTGGAAGAGGCCACCTATGACTTCTAGAGAGGTCATTGCCTGGCCTCAGAGCTTCAAAGAACAGGCTGACTCTCTTGTTAGGGACTAATGTAGCTGATGACTTTAAGTTGAAGCCAATGCTCATCTACCATTTTGAAAATCCTAGGGCCCTTAAGAATTATGCTAAATCTACTGTGTGCTCTATAAATGGAACAAGGCCTAGATGGTAACATATCTGTTTACAACATGGTTTACTGAGTATTTTAAGCCCACTGTTGAGACCTACTGCTCAGAAAAAGATTCCTTTCAAAATACTACTGTTCATTATCTGGTCACCCAAGAGCTCTGATGAAGATGTACAGATTAACACAATATTCATTCTACAGCCCACGTTCACTGCAAAATGTATTTTAACAAAATACATTTTGTAAGGCTCTAGCAGCCATGGAGTGATTCCACTGATGGACCTGGGCAAGGTCAACTGAAAACCTTGTGGAAGGGGTTCACCATTCTAGGGACCATTAAAAACATTCATGATTCATCAGAAGAGGTCAAAATAACATTAACAGGAGTTTGGAAGAAGTTGATTCCAGTCCTCATGAATGACTTTTGAGGAGTTCAAGACTTCAGTGGAGGAAGTAACTGCTGATGTGGTGGAAGTAGCAAGAGAACTAGAATTAGAAGTGGAGCCTGAAGATGTGACTAAATTGCTGCAAGCTCATGATAAATCTTTAATGGATGAGGTGTTTCTTATGGATGAACAAAGTGGTTTCTTGAGATGTCATCTACTGGTGGTGAGGATGCTGTGTAGACTGCTGAAATGACAACTAAGGATTTAGTATATGACAAACTTAGTTGATAAAGCAGCAAGGGGTTTGAGAGGATTGACTCCAATTTTGAAAGTTCTACTGTGGGTAAAATGCTATCCGATGGCACTGCATGCTAGAGTTGTTCCTGAAAGAAAGAGTTGATCAATGCAGCTAACTTCATTGTGGTCTTATTTTAAGAAATTGCCAGTCATACCAGCCTTCAGCAACCACTACCCTCGTCTGTCAGCAGCCATCAAAACTGAGACAAGACCCTCCACCAGCAAAAAGATTATGACTCACTGAAGGCTCAGATGATGTACATTTTTTAGACATAATGCTATCTTATTGCACACTTAACAGACTACAATGTAGTGTAAACATAATTTTTATATGAGGTGGTCTTGAACTGAACTTGCAGTATTTCTGAGGCCTGTATTATGCATATCCCCAACCTGCATTACTTAGAAATAAGTTTTGGAATGAGAAAAGTAGAAATTTAAGGGAGGGGAGGTTGGTAGCAGATTGGGAACCAGTGTGTTTTTATGTTAACAGATCCACTGGTGAGAATGACTTGAAGTACAGTAACATTCCTGTCCCTATTTTCTAAGCCTAATTATTCTAGCCTTCTTCATTCTTGCTAAAAACCTACTTTACAAGGGAATTCTTTTGATAAATTCCTTTATAGAAAAAAATTACGTATTACAATAACTAAGCTGCTAGCTGATCTGAATGTTTTCAGTTTAGCATCTAGTCTCCAAGGTTGTGTAACTGGAGTGATGTCAGGTCCTCTCCAGTAGGTTTGCCTAATTCTTTATTATTCACTGCAAATTATCCAGTGTGATGCTGTAATTCCCTAGTAACACAGGTCCCCAGGGTTTCCTGGAACTCTCTCCCCCACTACTTCCATAAACAAAAAAATCAGTGTAGACATGTGAGGAAAGGCAGATTCAGACTGAGACCTTGGATAAGTGCTTATCAGTTCTGCTAACAGTTTCAAAGTTTTGGCTTCCTCTGCCAAGGAAAGGCTCCAAAGTAGATTATTTTCAAGGTCCTCTGAAAGATTCTGACCTTGTTTTAGGTAAAAGTTAAAGAAATTCGGAGGGTCTACCTCAGGGGTAAAGTGCGTGCTTAGCATGTATGAAGTCCTGGGTTCAATCCCCAGTACCGCCATCAAAAAATAAAGAAAAATTCATAGTCACCATTCATTCAATCTATGCTGTTTAACTTTCATACTTCTGGAGACTAATCCTAAAACTAGTAAAATAATTCTCTAAGGCAATGATCTTGCTCATCATCAAATCTATATATTCCAGAGTCTTCTAGCACAGCCTGAAAATTTGTCCAAAACTTACAATGAAAAGTCTTACTGTGGCTATGTAATATCTTTAATTATCAAGAACAGAACTTTGGTTTTATTAAAACAATCTTAGAAGTGTCTTTATTCTTGCTTTTTAACAAGCAGCAACAATTTATTCTAGTTGGTATCAAGTTTCATTAATGGAGTAGTATTTTTTATCAACCACAAAACCTTCCAGAAGGTACTCAGCAACTGAAAATTTAAAACTTGTACCTTCATATTAGAAAAAAATTAGTTTTATAGATTTGGTGATAAAAAGACACAAAAATCCGTAAAAAGGGTAGAAACTGAATAGAGTGTAAGTTGGACTCAGGATTTTAGTTAATATGTATAAAGTCATTTACTATTTTATTTACAATTAGTGACTATTTGTGGTCAACTATATAAACATGCAACTACACAATCTAAAACTAGCTAAATCTCTAATTTTACTATAACATGACACTTATCTAAAGAAAAAGCTAAATTTGGATAGGGGCATAACCCACACATTCAACACTAAGAACACATTCAAAATCACTACAAGAAAGAACATGGGTCACTGGCTGGGGAAAAGGGAAACTCTGTAAGAGGAAATTCTCAGTTCTGGCAAACAGCAATCCTCCAGTCTAAAATAATGATTACATGAAAAACACCAAGGAGAATACATTCAAGTTAATGGAAACAAGTCTTTATTAAGTAACTTTTAATATCAGAAAAATAAAACTCTTATAATTCTCTTTACAGCAAATATATAATATCAGTGCTTTGGCCATCTTAAGTTAAAGGCCCTTTATCATAAAATATATGGTTTTAAACTTTACTCAAATTGAATTTATAATCCCTATCACTTCCCTACATATACATAACAAAAGAGTGTAGTAAAATTAGCAAATACTAAACTATATTGATAATTTATCATTCTTAGTTTGTGGTTTTTAGAAACAGTACACGCACCTAATATATGTCGATTCCTTGGCTTATTAGTTGCAGTGTACGATGCAACAGAATACAAAATACATGCTTGGTGAACATTCGTTTGTATCTACAAGATGGCAGCTATAAAGATTAGGTTTCAATACTGACATTTAACTATCCTACAAGCAATTAGCATTACATCATAATATGCCATCAAGGCAATTTTTTATACTGAAAAAATCAAAATAAAAACCGTTATTTGTAAACTTTTATACGAAATGTAACTCTTCAAGTGGAAATAAAAAATAAAATTTGTCTATTTACTATTCAATACACATAGGATTTCAATTTTGTTATACTGAGAAAAAAAGCTCTTTTGTGTTGGGAAAATAACGCTTCAAAAAATAATTAGTAGAAAAACCCACCAGTATAACATTTTGTCCGTTCAATGCCAGCACAGATTTGGGAACATACTGAGGATGAAGTCGTAGACATCCACAGGTGAAATGTAAAAGTGTATCTTAAATCTTTCCTTGTGATTGGAAATAGCTTTGAAATGAAGTAAACTGATTGGAGGTCGTCACAGCTGCTTCTGTGAATTACGCTAAGGGCATCATTATCCCCCCCCCTCCCCCCTCCCCTAAATTACTAAAAATAAAAATATATTTATAATGTGCAAGACAAATATGGATTGAACATAAAATGTTTCACATTTTGATCTATAGTCTAAAAATTAATCAATAGCTTGATCAGACTAATGAATGGAATGTTCGCATCCTCAATTATTAGCCAATATAGGTGCATCCCAAAGCCCTTCCTGAAATGAAAAACCCAGGTGGCCATTTCCAGATTCACCGAGGGAGGCAATGGGTGGGAATTCACAATCGACACAATTGCATTCCTGATCCACTGATCATACCAGCCGTGAGCACTGGGCGAGATGAAGGTCAATGTAGCAGTTTGTGTCCCAAATTATAACCAGTGATGGAGTAAACTGCCATCAGCCCTATTATTACCAATAAGTAATCACAATGCATTAAAAAGTTACTTGCAATCCTGCAGAATTAGGCATAAGTTGTTGTAAAATAAAAAACAAACAAACCTGTTTTGTCAAAACTGGCAGTGTAAAGAAGGCAGCACTGGAAGTGTCTGAATCATCTGTAATGCCAAGTACCCTCCATAAACTCTTAATGTGGTTAGGCTTTGGGACCCATCGTTTTGAAATCTTAGACGTATACACTTTTCTCATAGGTTCACACCACCTATGATTATCTTCACTCAGCCGAGTTGAACGTCAGCTTTAGCAATTCTTATACAAGCTATGTCTCTGAGTCTACAGGATAGTATTAATAATTCAAACCAAACTAATAGACAAGAGACCACTTAGGTTTAGTGTTACCATAGCAGCCTTTTATAAGTTTACTAACAACTTTAGCCTAATCCCAATAAAGCCTGATAACAGTCATAAGAATTCATTAGGAAGTTTACTGGGGGTACCATTATACCCATGCCTTTACGAGTCCATATAGAGATATAGTATTTATGTATGTATATATATATAGTTAAGAGTGAATTTGGATTGCCTGAGTAACAGCTGTCTGGCAAACTGGACATGATGGCGTTCTCTTTTCACATATCTTGTTGGCACATTCCATGCAGAAGAGGTTGTGGCCACATGGAACTAGGGCAGCAATAACTTCGTTCTCAAAGCAGATCACACAGTCATGCTTCCGTCTTGATTCTGGAGGTGAGCTAGAGGTGGAACCACCATTGGAAGAGGAGTAACTATTGGTACCATTAGAAAAAGCAGGGATGTATATTGGAAGGCCAACATGGTTGCCTGTACTAGGTGGGTCGCTCCTAACCCTCCGAGCAAGTGGGTGTTCAATGCTCTCAGGAAATGTAGGAGACAGACGAGGAGTAGATGGCTGACTTCCTCTACGCTGAGTCTTCATGTTACCAGGAGGATCACTCCCAAAGCCAGAGAGTGGGTTAACTGGTTCAAACGGAGTCCAGATAGTTTGAGCAGATGTTGGTAAAGAGTCAAAGGCAGGAGAATCAACCGCAAGATCTTCTGAAGCCACAGAAGGTAGTGTGTCTCCAAACCAAAAGTTTCCTGTGCTAAATGGGCTTGTCGGACTAAAGTCAGCCAGCCTATTGCTTCCAAAGTAGGAATCTGTGGAACCACTTCCCAGGGAACTGGAACTATCGTTTCGGTAATTGGATATCATTCTGGCGCGGCTAGGAGGAACCGGATTGGAGGAGAGCCACGCAGAGCCGAGAGTGCCGCCTTCAAAGCTGACATCAGTACCGTTGTAATGGAAATCATTCTCTTCATTGAGCTCGATATAGTTTCCCGTGCGCATGGCAATATGCATTTCTATTTCTTCTCGTGCTCGGTCAACATTCTCGGGCATCCCCGTCACTTCAAAGACAGGCTCCTTATCTCTGCTTGGAGTTACTATGTATGTGTGGGTCTGCTGCTGAATTCTTTTAATAGTTGCTCCTTTGGGTCCAACTACTAACCCTACCACACGATAGGGGACCCTGACTTGAACGGTGGTTTGACCGGGCAGATTAGGACTGCATGACAGCCCTCCCAGAGCAGGGCCATTTTTGTTTCGAGATGCACGAATCATGGAGAAGTGCTCTGCAGCAGAAAGGATTTCTCTTTTGGCCATGGCAACATCTTCTTTCCGCCCAGTGACAACAAAAATGGGCTCTTCACCACGAACAGGTGTCTTGATATACGTGTTCGTCTTGGCTCTCAGCGCTTTAATTTTACAACCTGTTAGAAAAAACATATTTCATAAGACTCAACATCCACTTCAACAATATTGATCAAGACTAGTGACAGGAAGCTCTTTTCAAGCTCAGAGTCTGCTTCTGGGCAGTCCCCCCCATCACTTTAAGTTTTAAGAGTTTTTCCTTCATTACAAAAACTTATCGCTAGGTAATGATAAAGCTTTCCTCATTCCACTGAGGCTCCTAGCTCCTGAGGTGTACTTTCTCAGTGAGCTCTCATTTGGGAAGAGGTGACACGTCTACTGGAGGTCTTTAACTCAGAGGTCAGGCTTATCGTCTTCTCCCTCCTGCTATCAGTCATTGCAAATGATGCACGACATACTCTGTACAGGCCAGCTACACTGTGAGTGGGTCTGACGGACAGAACACTAATAGTTTATCACCTTGCAGGGCACTGGTGGCAAAGAAAAGCTATTAATGTACACGTGACACACTTAATACCCACTGCCTTATTTAACCTACACAACAACCCTAAGAACTAGACTATTACACTCCTTTTATTGCTAAGGAAAATAAAGCACAGGGAAATTGTATAACTTGTCCAAGCTTACACAGCTAGTAAGTGGCAGAGCCAGAGTTAAACCTAGTCTCACTTCAAAATCTAGTCTTTGTTAGTCCAAGAACTTCAAATTTCTCACAACTATACTACATGACAGAAGTTCTTCAACTTTTACTTACTTGTCTTATCATTTTACCTTAACATCATTACTTTTTCCCCGTAAAACTCAATTGATGACAACAAAATGCTCAAAGCTAGGTCATCTCACTCTTGTTCCATCAGTTGGATTTTAAGCACACAAAGAATCAATTGTGTTTATTCCCATATTTGTTTATCCTAGTTGTACTCATGTGTTAACTAAATTAACTATTACATAAACCAATGACATGAATGCAAAAAGACGCTGAAGTTGTATGAAAATTGATTTTTTAAAATTTCAATAAAGATGAATACCTTAAAGAAAAAAATGCAGATGAACCATGGGTGAGACAACTGTAAAATCCTGCAGTCAAACTAACATAAAATAACTCTGTACTCACTGTAAAGTTTTTGCTAAATTCAAAATAAACATACCGGAAATTATATGGAATATGGGTGTTGGGTATGGTTTTATTGAAGGACTACTCTGGCTGGCAGACCAATTCTCAAATAAAAGGCTTTGGCCCTAAATCCTAAGTATATTTAAGGTAAATAAAATAATCTAAGACACGTATGCATAACTACCTATGTTTACTTTTTGGAGTAATCACCCATTACTAGCGCCAACCGTGTAAGATTAGAGGGCTTCAAACGGTAACTTAAAATGTCAAACGTACAACTAAGGCATACAACTCTAGGGTTATACTTTTCAAAGAGCTCATCGTGAAGCCTGCCAGAAAAGATTTCTTCTAATGAATATATCATACGATTCCCAGCTCCTCAAAATAAAGAAGCTCGGTGCTACTGAAGACGTGTGTCAATCTGGGCAGCTCTCTTTCTTAAACCTTTACTGGCCCCCAACAAATCTATAACGTACAATAACTAATTCTTCCCAGACATTACTTCCAACCGGTGGAACTGCAGTAGTCCCCTCCACCCTCACCAAACAGGGCTCCGGCCTCCAGTCCATCCTCTATAGTCACTGTAGGCAGATGATGCTTTCTGAACAAAGCACAGATCACATCACTTCTTCGCATAAACTGTTTTAATGGCTCCCTTTCACCATAAGGATAAAGTCCAAACAATGTGGCACACACGAGGTCCCTCTTTACCCAGTACCTGATTGCCTCTCCCTAGCCTTGTCTCTGTCCCACTCTCCTTTCCCCATCCTCACTTCTTAAATGCTGCAGTGTGCTCCCACCATGTTTCACTCCTGTCCATGCTCCCTTATTACCAGGACCAGAATGTTCCTTTGCCCTTGCCCCTTTACTACCAGCTCTGCTTAACTCCTGGTAGCCCTTCAGATTTTAGTTTAGATGTTTCAATCTCTACGAAGCTTCCTCTCCCTGACGCCTGGTCTGTGTGCCCTTCCTAAGCATTCTCCCTTCGCAGCTGGCTTAAGTATATGCCATGGGGTGGCCAAATAACATTTGTTGAAACGAAGACCACTGTTTTCCTATATAAGAACAGTGGGCCTTTCTTAAACATACTGCTTTGGTTTTTTTTGCAGAGCTTCCCTGGACTTTCATATTCTGGCCCCATACTGCTAATCTAGCCTTGTTGAAGGGAGTTGATTATGCTAACTTCAATTACAGCATATTCAACGGAACTTTACTCAACCTATCATTCAACTTTGGGATCTGAACTACAAATGAAGATCCTGTTCCCCCTTCCAAGAAGCTGCAGAACTTATAAAGAAATGGCAGCTTTCTTCCTGCTGGATCTTAGGTACCTATCATGAAAACACTTTTAGGGCCAGGTTTACTCTTATCTGAAGGTATATTCATTTGAGAAGACCAGAGGGGAGGTGTGTAGTTAAAAGCAAAACTGCCAGGAAAGCAAATAACTGGCTGAGGTAAGGGCTGAGGGGAGGGGGAAGCTTTAGGGCTATCAAGAAATTACTACAATGAGTCAAATTTATGCTATTGTGAAACAGTAAAGTTTTTTTTATTATACAGTGCTGCTACAAGTTTATACCTACAATGAACTACAAGATTAAGTTGATAGTATAGCTTCTGAGTATAGGAAAATCTGTATCAGATTTTGCCCCACAATAGAAAGTGGATTGGAAAACCAGAACAGTAAAACTTCCATATCTACTTATCATTTATATAGGCTGAATCTCTAGGAAACTCTCTCAGTCAGCACAGGTGTTGCTTGAAACTGAGAACTGCAGTTGCTTTCCATTGAACAATACGTGAACAATGGAGATACCTCAGCTCTGAAAGGGGTGGTATGAACAACTGTTCTTACTGTACACTCAGGAGACTTACTGTCAATATTTGGATACATGAGTTTATACTCTGGGCTACAACTTAAGAAGGCAGTCTGCTAGAATCACATTCCTAACAAAGAGGGTACTGATCATCCTGCAGAAAAACACCAGGGAACTTCTATTATAATAGGGCAAAGGGAGAGTTAGCCTTAGAGTCTAGGGTTGGCCCCTCTCCACCCTTACTATAATGAACATTAGAAAGTTAAATTAAGAAACCTCTCTAAATGCTTCTGAGATTATAAGCAACCATCAGTTGCACCTTAGAACACTTTTTGTTTAATGCCTAGTAGGTATATTATTAACTAAGAAAATATTCCTAAAAGAAAATATGCCATGGGTGGAGCTTGGACCACTTCTGAGATAAGGGCAAAAGATAGGCCTACCCTGCCCCAAAGGGTCATGTGCTTAGGTTTTGTAGATCAGGGAAAGAGGAAGCCAGAAGACAGCAAAACCAACCCCTTTTACGCCACTGCCAGACAGAAGTACTTCTTCTCGCTCCTAAATTTTATAAGGCAGCTTTAAACACTGTAGCCTAAACTCAGATTAGGACTATAGGAAACCTCTTCAATCATACTATTTCTATAGGAACATACATATTATGAATACCAACCAACCAACACATGGTTTCTGGAATACATATACATTATAAAGCTGGGGACAACTTAAATAGGCAGAGTTCTAAACTGATGACACAAACTAAAGGAGAAAATCAGAAAACTAGCTTTATTATTTTGCAGGTGGTGGAGGTAAGAAGTTTTCTAGAGTATTTTAGATTTATTTTCTATTTGAAAATGTGAAGATTTTTTAAAAACCATGGAAAAATTTATAATCTCAGAGTAGCACAAAATTCAGAAGCCACAAAGGTTCTGGATAGATTAGACTGCACTTTAAAAAAATTGCTGTGTGGCAAAAGTCACCGAAAACAAGGTAAAAAATTATTTACAGCTCACATCACAAATGGCTACTTTCTCTTACACACATACCCATACACTACATATCAAAACACCAAAACCCAACAGAAAACAACAGGTCAAAGAAATAGCTTACAGAAAATATATAAATGTCTTTGAACATGAAAATTCCCATTTTCATGTGAACTGAGGTATTTTCCACCTATAAGACTGTCAAATATCAAAAACAAATATCAAAATGGGGAAGAGGACCTCACATTTAGCTGCTGAGAGATAAACAGCTCAACGGCAGTGTGCAATATCCACTGAAATTACAACTGCACGTGTCTGTCCCTACAATCCCACTGGTAGAACCGCATCTGTATGCACACTTGTGCAGGTGCAAATGACCTCTGCATTATATTACTGTCTTTAGCAGTGTGAGGCTGGTACAGCTATATAAGGAAATACTGTGCAGTCATGAAACTGGTTGACTCAGGTGGACAGGGGAGGAGTGAGACTTAATTTTCCTTGTACATTTACATTTTTAAATATATTCTGAACCATACAAATGCATTAGTTTTTCAAAGAAGTGATTAGAAGATTTTAAAAAATCTGCTATGAAGTGACACATTTTATTACACTTAGCATATCGGTCAAAATTTTGGCTGACATTTTTAAAACATTTATGAACAGCAGGGTAAGTGATCATAACTGCCTTTTAAGTACAAGAGGTAAGGACTAACAATTGTTTTCTTACAGCTACAAATAAAAACCAACATATAGCAAGCTGTGTTATCAGACTGTGTGGAGATCGAGAATAACACTTATGATTTTCCTAGTTGTAATTTTATTTTGATTTGGAAGTAAATTCCCAAATAGTCTCCAACTTACTTCCCTTGTGTAGGAACCCATTTCCGCTTTCTCTATCACGGTAGCTGGGGCTGTGTTTCACCTTATAACACTTTAGCAGCAGCCAGAAATCTGGTCGTCTCACTCCCTGGTACAGTCAAGGTTCAGTCCTGCTTCTCCAGGGTAAAGGGAGCCTCTCCCACCAGCAGCTCCTTGGCAATTAAGAGGGAGAGGTCTGCTGCTGCTGGGAGAGGAGCTGGAAGGAAGAAAAGGAGTTGAAATGCTATCTTCAGTGTTTCTCAAACCATGGTTTCCAATATCAATTTAAT